ATGCTGAGTTCTTGTTAAATTTAAGCTGTAGTTTTACAATAGCCTTCACTACAGCTTGTGCCATGGTAGAAAAATTGACAGATGCAAGGTGAACTGACAGGCAAGTCATGGTTTGTCCAGCTCCCAGGTACAAATAAAATGTGCAGAACATAGTTATCTTGGGCATCTGTTGCTTCGTCTGCTACAATCGAGATGGATTCATATTCTGCCAATGCAGTTTTTGTAAACTGAACACATGAAGCAATTACTCCTGGTAAATAATCTTGGCAAAGCTTGTTTGCACATGGGGAAACTGCCAGCATTTGGCATGTGTTTGTTCAAGTAGCCCCTGTATTTAGGGTTATCATTTTTCTCCAGAGGAATGTAGCGGCCACGAATGCCTCCAGTGTGCGAATGTAGCCTCTCTTCTTGTCAAACTGCTTTTGGTGGTTCTCTTACAGATTGAGGACATATAGACACTTGTTTCTTGCTCTTACTTTCAGCCTCTGCAGTAGCCTTTCACTTCATATGTGATTTGGACTCTAAATGTTTCTCAGTAATGTTTTTCTTTGACACCTCCAGAATCACGTTGCATGATGAACAAAACAATTTACTACCATCTGCATGCAAGTTTCCTGCAGAGAACTGCTTTGCATGATCCTGAGCTGAAATGTATTTATCTTTTCTGGCTTTCTTTTCACTCATCTTCAGACTGCAGCATTGCTATAACATTGCATCTGGCTTCTTAAAATAGGGCACTGAAACCCTTTTGCTTTCCTGACTGGCGCCTTCACTGAGTGTACGTCACTAGCTCAGCCTCTCTGTAGCTCTCTCTTGAACCACGTGCTATATGGCTGCAGGGATTGCCTGTTCTAGTGAGTTTTTTGGGTTTTTTTCAGCCTATTCTGCACAAAATCGTGGGAAATATCATTTTTTGCAGTGATTGCGAGAACCATAAAACCACAGTTTAAGTAGGTTCCTTGTGATGAGTTGTGTGAGATAAGGAGAGTGTTTGAAAACAGAGGTGGGAAGGCAAGGGTTTTTGTTTTTTTTCTTTTTGTATTGCAGTAGATTACCGTGGGTATTTGGATGGCACTTTCAAAGACGGTCTTTTTCTCTGCCCAAATGTCTTTGGGTAAAGGCAGTTTTTAGATTAATGAGGTGGTTGTTGTGAGTAAGTCTTGCATTCAAAAAGATATCGCCCTAAGAAATCCTTGCCTCTTGCATAATTTCTGGACCATCACAGCTACAAGTACTTTGAGAATTCTCCTCGGAGCAGGTGTGGCATCTGAGGTCCTGGCTTAGAGTACCGCTTTCCTAGTGTGTTTAGGATGGTTGGTCATTTGGGGGACATAAGCATGGTGGACTATAGGTTTTCTGTGTGCAGTTGTTTCTAGGGTGCCATCCTGGACGTGGATCGTAGTATCTAGAAAGTTGATGTTAAAATATTCCAGAGAATTTGTTTGAAAGTTGCTAGTTGTTGAACCTATGGTAGAAGTCATCAAAGAGATCCAAGGTGTTCAGTTCAGGTGATTAAAATGTCATTTATGTATTGCAGGTAGAGTGCAGGGATGGGAGGTACGGCTTTCGAAAAATTCCTTCCAGGTAACTCCTGAAGGAATAATAAAATATAGCAATAAAAAGTTTTCCTGCCCCCCCGCTCCCCCTCAAAAATCCTTACCTTATCTAACTTGGTATTCAGGTTGTGATCAGGTGAATTGAGGTAGGAATGATAGCCAGACCATATCATGGCACTGTAAATGAAAGCTGCTTGCAAAGGTGGAGGTAGGGATAAAAATCAAAGAGATGAGCTGTTTTACAGAGCGACTCATATCTTAGCTGCACACTGTGTGCTTGCTCCAGGCTAAGGCTGAAGGGCTTGATAGCATGTCAGAGTCTAAATACAGCTGTCTGCAAATAGAAACCATTTGCTTCCTCCGCATTTTCTAGAGCTCCTGACCCTTTTGGTTCAGTGTTTGATGACACTTGTTTTTGTAAAGTCCCTTTTATATGGAATATCTGATACAGCTGTGCTGATTGCCATTGCTTTCATTCTTTACTAATGGATTGACAAACCTTACTCTTTCTCCAGTTTAGACTGGTAAGACAAGCTTCCCTTAGCTTTAGTTGTAGACAGATGTTCTTGTGTTGCATGGTCACTGTAAAATCATGCACTTAGGACTGTGTTGGTAGTTTTCAGAGATTGCTTTCAAACAGTATTAGGAAGGCAAAAATAGACCTAAGCATAGTCTTTATGAAATACTCCCTTCATTCACTAGTCCTCACTGACAGCCTTGGGGCATTCAATTCATTCATTTCCTTTAGGCTGCGTATCTCAGTTGTGAGAGAGGAGTAAACAAGGTCACTTTTGTTGCTGACTGCTCTCCCTGAAGATTTTTTTTTTTCTTCTTTTTTCCCAGTTTGTGTAGGCAGAGGTGAGGGAGTGATGCCTGAATAGTAACAGGGAAGAAGCCACATTTAATATGCTTTGGGGTGCACCTGGTGGCGCTTCATTCATCATACTGAGCAGTGGTTTCAAGGGCCTTTGAATGGAAAGGCATAACTCATTCCCATTTTGGTCTAGCAGAGCTAGCAGACATTTTTGTAGCTTCTAGGATGTATACAGTTAAAGAACAAACAGAGCATTGCTCTCTGGTGACTGTAGAGAACGATGCTGGTCTTGTGAAGGCAAGCTGCTTATCCCCAATAGGATATGATGCAGTTAATATATTTTTAAGGATTAGTCTATGCTTTATAGGACCTTTTCATTCTGAGGAGTTGCAAAGCACTTTGTAAATGAACACACAGTGGTGTACAAACAATGTTCTCTTATGTATAAAAAATACAGAAATGGTGTTAATAGCAGTGAACCATAAAGCTTTTGGCAATACTATACAATGAGGCTTAGCAGAAATGTAGAATAACCAAAGTAAATTTACTTCATTTTCCTTGTTGTGAGGAGTTCAGCTGAAAGCACCCAACTGCTGTTGGTCTAGGAAATCAGGCCTAGTAGTTCTAGTGTATTAAACTACTGCGGGACTCTTGAAAAGTATAGACTACCAGCACTCCTAACACTTCTTCCTGCTCACCCCAGCTGCACAAAACCCCCTAAACCTGATGTTATGTTGGTTCAGGAAGTGGAATCATACCACTAGTGCTTCCTATCACTCCTAAACCTTGCACCCAAGGAGAAGGATGATCCAGTTATCAGACCATTAGCCTGGAAGTTAAGAAATCTGGGTTCATTTCCTTGCTCCACCACCAACCTTCCTGTTTAGGATATGCCTACCCTGCTTCCTGAGCAAGACTGGGCATGCCATTGAGAAATAAGCCCCATCCTTTCCATGTGCACATTGGCCCACAGGTTTGTTGGATAGACATTGCCCCAGTCCTGAACACGTGCCTGAGTTGGGGAGCCTGATGCTTGTACAAATGTATGTGCTTGGGGCTGCACCAAACTGTTGTCTTAGCAAACTTTTGGACCAGGGTGGTGCAGGTGCATGCAGCTTATTTATTGGCAGCGTGCACACAGTTGTGAAGCGTTGTAGATATACTCTTTTAGGGTCTGATCCACAAAGGGACTCTGCCCCTGTGAGATGGGACTCCTGCTCCCAGCCTTATTTATGCATGTTTACCCCATGACTGACTGCTCAGTGCCAAATGTGAAGCCATGGTAGGAGCAGAGATGGTTCCTGTTTGCCAAAGCCAGGGCTTTGTGGGCTGCACCTGTCCCACAGGCTGTAGTTTCTATGGGGAAGCTTGTGAGGTGCCCAGCAACTATTAAAGGGGGGAGGAAATAGTAACCTATGCTGAAAGCAGAACTAACACTAGTTATTTGAGCAAGGTGGAGGCAGGAGAAAAATGTATATAAATATTTTGCATATAAGTAAATAATTCATCTGTGCCCTGCACTAGGGATCAGTCTCTGACAACATATTGTTTAATATCAGCAAATACAGAACAGAAAAGCCTCTCTATGTTGGAGTGAGGTGTGTGTCTGTCATTCTACCTCCTGGGCTCCCAAAGGAAGTTATTGGCTTGGTTTGATTAGCCAGACCATGCTCATAGGCACCATGTGTGGCTGTTGGAGCCACTCTTACAATAGTCAGATTTTAAAGAGCTGGAGATTCCTTGGAAAGAGCTGAATTAAACCTTTGAATCCTGTTTTAGGATTTTATTCATGAAAACAAAAGTCTTATTTTGCTGCCAAAAATGGGCTTTGTTCTTAAAAATGCTGACATTTCTGCCCAAGTTAATAATAAGCTTTGTCTAAACATAAAAATGTGAGGGAAGTGGGGATAAGTAGTAAGCATTAGATTTGCAGTTTGGTACTGTAAAATTTCACCCTGAATAAAAAAAATTCTGATTACAGGCCCCATTTTGCATTGGAATACAAATGCAGAAATTTAAAGGGAATTGTTTTGCAGTGATCAAGGCAGCAAGAACTAAGATGCCGAAAGGGTTGTTTTTGTTCTTCAGTTATTAACAAATTCAACAGATGGTGATTATTCATAATTCCCCTTATTTATTTTTTTAGCACTGGTAAGGTAATGTGCTTCCAGCTGACCAAACACTAAAAATAGCCCCAGTCCCAAAATGCACACAGCCTAGCAGTCCTGTACAGCTTTGCAGTTGGCGTGTGTTAGCTGAGCACCACTGAGCTCTGTGGAGCTGTGATGCGTTGTATTAGTGGAGGGTCTGGAAACACTGGGAAATCTGGAGAAGGACTGATGTTCATTTTAATGTAACTTTACTTTCTGTGCTCATGTACGTTACAACCATCGGTGATGCCAGCTGTGAATTTTCCTGTTTCTCTCTCCGTTGCTGTCCATTATGCATGAGTTAACCTCAGTAAATCTTTTTATCAAGCCATCTCTCTTGCTTGAATTTGCTTCCCCTTAAGGACCTGTTCCTTCCCTGCCATCCACAGGAAGTTCAGAAGTCTTTAACAACACTATCAAGGCATAAGCCATCCACGTGATCTACTAATAAACCCTGTTTATTTCTCTCCCTTTTTTTAGGTTCCTAAAGGAACTGACCAGAACTGGGCCCAGAAATTGTATGATAGACACTCTACCAGCCAACACTTCCAGAAACCACGAATGTCCAACACCTCTTTCATTGTGGTGCACTTTGCAGATAAGGTAACTGGGCGTATATAGCATGTAAGGCTCTTTAAACACACGCTAGTCTAGCGCACAATGGCCAGGGTAGTTAGAAGTTTAAATATCTTTGGTTTTTAAACCACGTTCAGCTTGTTTAGGTGGGGACTTCCAAAGTTGCATAAGGCCTGGGGATGCCTGATTGCCACTAATATTAGTTGGGCATCCAAGTCCATTGGTTGGCTTTGAGAAGTCACCCTTCAACTCTGTGCACAGTTTAAAATAAGTGGTTTTGAGGCTTCTTGCTTAAACAAACAAACCTTGTGCAAAACACTACATCGAAATAATGTAAGTTAGTCGAAACTGATTGTTTCATCTGGTATTTGGCTTAGGCCATAGCTACTGCTCTCTGAGACCTGAGGAAGGGTGTTTTGTGCCTGAAAGTCTGTTCAACATGTCTGGCAACTGTAAAGTTGGTTCAGTTAAAGATATTGTCAAACCAATTACGCATCTTGCATAAACACAGATAATTACACTGAGAAAGGAATGAAACCAGCTCATTCATGATGCAAGACCTCAGTGGGAAGGAAGTGGGGCGGGGGAGGGGGAAGCCAAGCGAGACAATACAAGGACTTCGTTGCAGAGAAGATACCAACATCAAGCCTTTAACACAGTGGTTGCTACAGCAGCAGCCTTGGTGTGGGCTCAAGCTTCATTGAAAACGTTATTTGACAGGTATTATTCCTAGCAAATAAGAATCTTCTGAGGCTATAGCTAATGCGCGCACACACATGTGCGTATATGTTTGAAATGGAAATCAAAAGCAATTCTGAGCAAGTGTCAAAGGAGCCTAAATGTGAGAGATTCCTAAATCAAGTCTCACCTCTATCTGCTAACGTCAGAGCAAATTGCACTGTTCACAGCGGAAGCTGACACTTGCTTTTCCATTATGCGCACGACTTTGCCTGAACCCTCCCCTGAGCGTTCTAAAAGAAGATATTCCCATGTCACATTTTACATGTATGCTCTGCCATTACCTGACAGTTTATTGCTCAATTTTGAGGTGATTTGTATCAGGGCAGAATAGATTTTATCCTACCTTTTTAAAAAATTATTTCAATGCTTTTTTGACCATGTCTTATCTCAAAACTAGCTGATTTTAGAAACTTCACAAAGTAGGCTGTGGGCAAGAGAAATTTGGTGAGACTGAGTACAGACCTCTGCCAGAGGTTTTGAGATTTTGAGGTTAATGTGTAACAGGTTACTGACTGACATACTAGGAAGGCCAGAGTGGCCTTTTAAAGAAATGGCAAAATGAAAGCTAGATTGCTAGAAATCGTGCGTACACCTTCTCTATGAAGTAATAATGGGGTAATGCAAGGTTTTTTGAATTAAGGACTTTTGTGCCCTGTATCACTGAAAGGTAATATATTTATTAATAGGATAAACTAATATCTTTACCATCCCATTTGTGCTTGCACACAGTTCATATTGCTGTTTGTGATGGCTAAAGCCTTCAGGAAACGTACTGTAATTATAGCATTAGTCTTGCAGTGCGTCAGCTAGCGTGGAAGGGGCATAATGACCATTAATTTTTTTTTCTCTTCCATTTTCTGCTGTGGTAGGTTGAATATCAGTGTGAGGGATTTCTGGAGAAAAACAGGGACACTGTATATGAAGAACAGATCAACATCCTGAAGGCCAGCAAGGTAAAAACAGAATGACTGGAGAGTCGTATGGGTTGAGCCAGAGTCGGTATTGATGTTTTGGATGTTAAAATGTTTTAATCCCTTTGCTTATTTTGAAATCTCCAGCTGGTTGCTGTATGCAGCAATTCCTGCAGCCTCCCTGTGCAGCAGCAGCAATGATAAGCAAATAGAAATAATGAAGTTAAACTGTCTTTACCTAGGTGTTGTCATCACTGCATGCTTCTTTTTCCTCCTCTTCCATGCTCTGTCTCCCCTCACCACCAGGCCTGCCCATCATGTTTCAACTGACTTGACTCAGGGGAACTCCTTGTTAGATCTGTCTGACCCTGCTCATAATTGACTAGTGTGAGAGGGAAGGCAAACCGCCCCCCCCCCCCCCCGAAACGTGCCCCAGCCCCCCCCCCCCCCCCCCCCCCCGAAGTGTCCCAGACCCTTGCCCGATGCACCTCAGTACTTACCATAGGAGCTGGGATGAGCAGCAGCTGGGAGGAAACGCCAACACAGGCTCAGCAGTTCCGCAGCTGCCTGAGCCTGCATATCGGCAAGCACCAGGGACGTGGCTCCCAAGAAGCGTGGGCTGCTCAAAAGGCAGCCGGGGATCCAGCTGGGTTGGCTCCAAGGAGCAGGATGCCGGCTGCAGAGCTCACGTGCTCCAACTCCCAATGCCACAAGAAGGAGCTGGGCACTTGCCGGAGGACCCAGATGGGTGAGGCAGAGGGCAGCCTTAGGGGCTGACAGGGACAAGGGAGCCCCCACTGAGGAGCAGCAACTTCACAGGACCCCACCAGGAGGCAGAGGGGCTCCGACCAGGAGCTCAGACGCCATGGCTGGGGATGGCTCCTCAGACCTGCAGGTATCCCCAGGCAGCCCTGCAGTGGGCAGAGCATGGGGGATCATGAGCCCCAGGATGGGGAACTAGACAATGCCGGATGGAGGGACCAGGACAACTGGACTACAGGTCAGCCGAGCCCCAGGGACGTCATGCCAGAAGAGCCAGCAGAGGCTGGGCACAGGGCGGTTGCCTGTACCCACGCCTACTAGAATAAAGGGGACGGATGAGTCTCCCCGGGGGACTGAGGGCCCAGAGAAAGGGAATCTCAGGAGCCTGCCGGCAGAAGACAGTTGTTTTTCAGTTGAGTTTCTTCAGTTAGTTTGGCCCCAGACGGGGCAGGTTTAGTTTCCCAGGAGAGAGGAAGCCAACCCGAAGACAGGGGACGGACCCCTGAAGATTGATGGCCAGGAAGACCCAACCCTTTCAAGGTGGGCAGTGTGGTAAGACCTGCGGGGAGCAGCATCTACCCAGGCCAAGGACGTGGTAAGGGTGGGGATAAAGGGGTGGTTTGGAGCCTCATGAAGGCAGCCCAGGGCTGAGACCCCTTCAGATCACCTACAGCGAACTGCCTCCCCAACAACAGCATCAAAGACGTGGCAGGTAAGAAGGGGCAGTGCCTGAATCATCTAGGTGGCACTGAAACCAGATCTCACTCTGACGTCACTGGGGATCAAGGCACCGACCGAAAGGGGGCCTGTAGCATTTTGCGCCTTCGTGCCGCCTGGCCTGTCGGGGTGTAGTCCCTTCCCTCAACTCGCCTGCCACGACTGTGATGACTAAACAACTAGGAGAGGGGGTTTTTCCCAGTGGAGATCTTCCTGAGGGGGGCGCCTCTCCCAACAGACGGCAGTACTTATGGTTGTTTGGCGTGATGTTCCACAGGGCTCTGCCTCCCCCATACCCCATCCATTCACCAACCGGGTGGAAGTGTGTCAATAATGGTCTTCGGCCCTGTAGAATGACCCAGGGCCTGCCTTCTTGGTTGTGGTGGCTTTTTCCCTACTTCTCAGGGTTTGTCTTAATTAAAAAAAAAAAAAATAATTCCCCTGAGGAGAGGGTTGCAGAGCTGCCTCCTCTACCCATGCCTCCTCCCTCCTGCTGTATGCAAGGAACTCCCCTGCTGCCTTGGCCTCTGCTTCCACCAGGAGCTGGAGGGATGCCCCGATTTGCTTCCGGGAGGGGGCTTAAAGATCTCCCTGGGGTTGCCTGCAGGAACTGTGCAGGCTGTGTTGCTCCCTTCCCGCGCCGGAGCCGCAGCACGCCTAGTGAGCTGCCGGCCCGTGCCCTCCTTCTCTGGCTCTCTCTCTCTGCCCTAGTTCTGGCGGGGCTTTTAAACTTTCTTGCGGCTGCTGGTATGGCTGCCGGGATTGGTCCAGCTGTTTCCCGCGCCGGAAACAGCTGATTAAACAGCCGGCATAACGCTGGTTCGCGTGGCTAGTCACGGCTCCTGTTCCAGCTGCCCTGCGGGAGGCGAGTCATCCCTGCCAGGGGTCTGCTCCCAGGGTACGGGGCCCGCAGGGTTAAGTAGGTTAAGTCCTACTTAATCCACATTTTTAGGATGTAGAGGATTTGTATCTGTGTATGGGTGATTTCATTTCCAAAGAGGCTGCAGTGGACATGGACATATAGCATTTTTTCCTTCTCCATCTTCCTTCCTATGGTCCTTACTTTCCTAGGACTGCATATTTTCTTTGCATGTCCAGCCTCCAATGACTCTGGGACTAAAAAAACAAAAATATCTTTGATCCAGAATTAACCTCATATATTGCAAATGACGCTGCAGTCCTGGCCCATAAAAACTAGTGTACATGAAAATGTGTGTAGCTTTTACAGTCCTGCAGTATGTCATTATTATTGCTTCCTTATAAGTTGCACATAAATGACTCTAATAATAAAAGTGCAAAAGAGAAAATATAGAGTACTAGTATAACTTAAAGGTTGAGATATCAAGCCAGTTCCCAGGCAAGGAATTCCAGCATGCTAACGTAACTCCTTTAACTACTTGATGTGCATGTTGCTTGCTAATATTGCATACCATAATAAGTTAACATTTTTACCAAAGGCAGACAAGTTTCTCTGAGTAAATTGCCTGTGTCCTTAGACCACCGTGGCTACAGCCAATACCCCTGAAAGTTTACAAAATATTATCTTGATTGCATACATGTTTGCAGGATTCCTGCTTTGTGGCTTTCTCTCCTGTCTTTCACTAAACCTCATAGACCAGTAGAGCTTAAGACCTGGCCCATGAGTCGGATCCATCCAGAGGCTGGGCCATGCGACCTGTGGGGCTCCCTGCAGGTCTGGAAATTTGGCAGTAGGAGAGTGGTGAATTTGATCACTCCCCCACTGCCAAATTTCTGGACACGTAAGGAGCCCTGGGCCCCGAGAACTGGATTGGGTGCCTGACCCCAGTGTGCAGGGCTGGATGGAGGTGGTCCTGGACACCAGCACCTGATCCTGACATACAGGGGACAGGGAGAGGACAGTGCTGGAGTCGTAGGGGGCAGTGCTAGGCCTCCAGGGCCAACCCTGACACGTGGGAGCAGAAGCCCAACTCAGTGGGGCAGTGCCTCTGAGGCCTAATCCTGGCTTGTGGGGATGGGAAAATGTTGTGCCGGGCTCCTATGGCCTGATCCTGGCACATGGGGCTCAATCCAGCCCACAAACTGGCCCTGCCCCATTCATCTAGCCTGTGGGGCCCGAAGGTTGAGCACCACTGCCATAGACAGCAAGGTCTCTTGTAGTCGCCCCTAATTTCATTTGAACAGTAAATTATTTGATTAAGACCTTTCAGCCTCAAGGTCACAGGCTCCGCTACTTTTGGAGGCTAGAAACCTGGTAGGTCTCTTTAAAACAGAAAAAAAAAATACTTCTAGAGTTTACAAGCTTCACCAGCTAAGTAATGTGTCCATAATGAATTAATCCTTAGCAAATGCATTGCAAGTCAAGGGAGAAGCTCTAATTTGTATCTGTGAAATTATCCAAGCTGAGAGACGATTTTTACATTTTTACCTGCTAGGTTGACTTCTAAGGTCTCAGTCATATGGGCTGAAAAAGCAAAATTATGCAAGGCAAATAAGACTTCAGTACAAGATTGTAAATTGTAAAAAAATAAGACTGTACAAATTCTTATTAAAAAACGAAAGGACTGGATAAACATCAGATCTAAACTCTTCCATCTGTAACTGAACCATTTCAAACCTGATAGATCAGTTCCTTCTAAATGCATTAAGCCAGATTGTTGCAGATAAGTAAATTGAGGCAGGAGGTCACAATTGCTGACAAGGCCTGAATTAAGAACTAATTCTGCTTCTCTGTTTGTTTATTAGTATGTGACAGCATCATCTGTTTTAATGTAGTATAAAATTGGTATGATCTTTAAATAAATTCATTCTTCATTCATTCTTTGCTTGAGTGAGAATGAAAAAGTAATATCTTTTTTTAGCTTCTTTTCTTAATGAAAATAAAGTAACTAGGGGGTTTAAATTGGTCTAATATTTACAGTGCACACTTTCATTTGTTCTCTTTCCTAACTTAAAAAAAACCCACCCCAAAACCTATCTTGTTTAATATTTCAACTGATCGTTTAAGTACTCTAGTTCAACGATACCTACAGGCTTGGTGGCGACAATTTGACTTGCCCCACAGCCAAAAGGGACCTAGGGGTAGTGATTGACCATTGCATGAACTCAAGCCAGCAGTGCGATGCTGTGCCCAGCAGGGCAAACAACACACTGGCATGCATCAACTGTTGCATCTCATGCAAAACTAAGGAGGTGATACTCCTGCTGTACTCTGCACTGGTGAGACCGCAGCTGAGTAGTGCATCCAGTTCTGGGCGCCGCACTTCAACAAGGGCATGGAAAAACTTCCTGGGTCCTTGAGGGTCCAGAGAAGAGCCACCTGTATGATCAGACAAGCCATACGGGGAGAGGCTGAGGGACTTGGGCCTCTTCAGCCTACAGAAGAGAAGGCAGAGAGAGGACTTGGTAGCAGCTTACTGCTGCTTCAGGGGAGTACATCAAGAACTTGGTGAACAGCTGTTCACTAGGGCATCCCTGGTGAAGACCAGGAGTAATGGATACAACCTCCTGGAAGGCCGCTTCAGGCTCAATTCCAGGAAAAACTTCTTCACAGTCAGGGTGTCCAGACTGTGGAATAAACTCCC